TAAGGCATTGGTCTGGGTACTTACCGTATTTTTCGCCCTATAGGACACACCGGCCCATAGGACGCACCTAGTTTTTTGGGGGGGAAATCAAGGGAAAATTTTTTATTTCCCCCCCAGCTTTGCGCAGCCATCCCCAAGCTAGAAGAGGGAGACGGAGTGCTCCGTCTGCCTCTTCTGCCTTCAGGGACAGCCTCCCTAGCCTCTGTGGGGCAGCGTACTCCGCTGCCCCGCAGAGGCTTTGCGCAGCCATCCCCAAGCTAGAAGAGGGAGACGGAGTGCTCCGTCTCCCTCTTCTGCCTTCAGGGACAGCTTGCCCTGCTGTCCCCCGGGTTTGTGGGGCTGGCGGGGGGAGAAGCAAGCTTGCTTCTCCCCCCCCCCAGCCTCCAGATCAGGTCGGGGAATAGCGGGGTGGCGGCGCTCCGCCTCCCCGCTATCCCCTGAGATTGTGGGGCTGGCGGGGGGGGGAGAAGCAAGCTTGCTTCTTCCCCCCCCCCCCACCAGCCTCCAGATCAGGTCGGGGAATAGCGGGGTGGCGGCGCTCCGCCACCCCGCTATCCCCCAAGATTGTGGGGCTGGCGCGGGGGAGAAGCAGGCTTGCTTCTCCCCCCACCAGCCTCCAAATAAGGTCTGGGAATAGCGGGGTGGCGGCGCTCCGCCACCCCGCTATCCCCCAAGCTTGTGGGGCTGGCGGGGGGGGGAGAATCAAGCTTGCTTCTCCCCCCCTGCCAGCCTGCAGATCAGGTCAGGGAATAGCGGGGTGGCGGCGCTCCGCCTCCCCGCTGTCCCCCGAGCTTTTGGGCTGCAGGCTGCTGCCCGCAAGCCTTGCGAGCCCGCGGGACATCCCGCCGGGCTTGCAAGACTTGCGGATAGCTTCCTGAAGCCTGGAGAGTGAGAGGGGTCGGTGCGCACCGACCCCTCTCGCTCTCCAGGCTTCAGCGAAAGCCTGCATTCGCCCCATAGGACGCACACACATTTCCCCTTCATTTTTGGAGGGGAAAAAGTGCGTCCTATAGGGCGAAAAATACGGTAATCACAGGGGTCCTGTGAGAGGGGTCCAGGAGGGGTGACTCTATCCGAGAGTCCACTGGGGGGCCAATGAACCAAAACAGCCCTCCCAATGGCAGCCTCTGCAGGGTTGGGGCAGCCAATCCATGTTGGGGGGTGACTCCCCAGCATAAGTTCAACCCCACCAGGTTCCTATCAGGAATCCATGTCTCTCCTTGAGGCCATGACACTAGTTTGGATGATAAGTTCAGTACCTTTTCCTGTTTAGTGCTGATAGACTGTAGTGTTAGCACACTTAATAGGCACGACTCAGACAGTAGTTCTGCTTCATGTTCAAAAGGTACAGTGGTACCTCAGGTTACATACGCTTCAGGTTACATACGCTTCAGGTTACAGACTCCGCTAACCCAGAAATAGTGCTTCAGGTTAAGAACTTTGCTTCAGGATGAGAACAGAAATCGTGCTCCTGAGGCGCGGCAGCAGCACGAGGCCCCATTAGCTAAAGTGGTGCTTCAGGTTAAGAACAGTTTCACGTTAAGTACGGACTTCCGGAAAGAATTAAGTACTTAACCTGAGGTACCACTGTATTGGCTTGTCCACGGGAGGTGAATCAACAAGGCTTCGTGGTAACATAGTGGCTTCAATGCTCTCTTGTTGAGTTGCCCTCACCTCTTGAGTTGCCCACTACTCTGCCAAGAGTCTTCTTCTTTGACGATCCCTCGTAGCCGAGTAAGATTGCCTTCCATAAACATGGTTTTAACAATGAGTCCATAAGTGATTGTGGAGGCCAATTCTGGATCCACATGTCCTTCCACAGTGGGGACATTGGTTTCCAGGCGGGAGTTGATCACAGTGTGGATTTTCCAAGCGTACCTTCCTCTTGGCAAGGTTCTCTCTTGCATCCTGAGTTCGAGCATCTTCAAAGCCCATGACACCTTTGGTGAAGGCTGTTCTCCAATTGGAGTGCTTGCAGGCCAGTGTTTCCCAAGACTGATAATTTTGGCATCACTAAAGTCTGCTGGGATCGCTTCTCTTTCGATGAGCTTGTGAAGTTGTTGTGCAAGTTCGATTCCACCCACTTTGAAGATTTTAGCAGGTATCCCATCAGGTCCGCTGGCTTTGTTGTTTTTCATTTGGTTAATAGCTGTACACAACTCTCCTAGATTTGGAGATACTGCAAGCTCGTCTCTAATTTGTTTTTGTGGAATTTGTGAGAGGACCTCAGCAGCTACGGGGGAGATGCAGTTAAGGAGATGTTGGTAGTGTTCTTTCCAGAGCAGTACAATAGCTTCTTTATCTTTTAGAAGTGTGGTACCATCTGCTGAGTGTAGGGGGCATATGCCATGATTTATTGGCCCATAGATGGTCTTTGTGGCTTTAAAGAAACTCTCTACATCATGAGTGTTGGCTAAGTGCTGGATCTCTTGAGCACTTAGGTAAAGGGACCCCTGATCATTAGGTCCAGTCGTGGCCGACTCTGGGGTTGCACGCTCATCTCACTTTACTGGCCGAGGGAGCTGGGATACAGCTTCCGGGTCATGGCGAACCAGAGCAGCGCACAGAAACGCTGTTTACTTTCCGCTGGAGTGGTACCTATTTATCTACTTGCACTTTGATGTGCTTTCGAACTGCTAGGTTGGCAGGAGCAGGGACCGAGCAACGGGAGCTCACCCAGTCGCAGGGATTCGAACTGCCAACCTTCCAATCAGCAAGTCCTAGGCTCTGTGGTTTAACCCACAGCGCCACCCATGTCCCCTTGAGCACTTAGTATAAACCTATTGGATATAGGTAACCCAGATCAGAGGGAAGGTGTCCCACAATGAAGTCATCTAATCTGCTTTTTTTGGAATTGGGCAGATTACTCAAGCTCTGTGATGAAGCAATCCTTTTCCTCCTTTTGATCATATTAGGGAACAAACGCTGTTCTTATATAGGGCAGCAAAATTCCAGATTCTGTGGAGTCCTGTCTAGCAGCTAAGCTAAAATTGGTGTCTTTGCTGTTGTTAAATTAGGCAAGCAGTCAATAAGCAGTAGAGGCACAATAGTCTTGCAATAGTTTTGCAGGTGTCAGCAAATAACTTGGCAGTGAGACCTTAAGTCATAAACTATTGAGTTGCAGTGAAGGCAATAACATCTGCAAAACAACAGGCGAACGCAGTGGCAGAGCGGTAAAACAGTAAAATTAAGCAAGAAAACAATAAAACACTAAAACCAGTCCATAAAACAATAAAACTTAACTATAAAATCGGAAACTCAGTTGGGGCTGCTGGCGCTGTCAACATCTGACTGGAAGTCTGGCATTTTATGATTCTAATGGCAGAGGTTGAGAGAGAGAGAGAGAGAGAGAGAGAGAGAGAGAGAGAGAATGAGAGAGTTAGATGATAGATAGATAGATGATAGATGATGATAGATAGATGATAGATGATAGATAGATAGATAGATGATAGATGATAGATGATAGATAGATGATAGATAGATAGATAGATAGATAGATAGATAGATAGATGATAGATAGATAGATAGATAGATAGATAGATGATAGATAGATAGATAGATAGATAGATAGATAGATGATAGAGATATTTCTTTCTTTGATGGTGTCTGTATGGTTCTGTCATGGCCTTGGGCTAGTAAAATAAAGCTTATCTTCTGAAAGGTTCTTCTCAGGTAGCAGGTGGGCTGCCTGATGCTGGATATGTACATGCCCAATGCCATAGCCAAACCTACTGTTTCCTGTAATCAATAAAGCTGTGGCTTAATTCTGTCTGATCGATATTGATCCAGAGTAGATTCCAATGTATAGCTAGCAGAGTAAAAACTTAAACACACTGCAGGAGTCCCAAAAAATAGACCAGAGGCAATTGTATTTCATCCAGCAGAGCTTTACTGCTACTGAAGGCAAATGAGCATCATGGTCACAAATCCAATACAATCAGAATTGGCCCTGTTCATAAGAAATCCAGTTGCAGCAGACTTAACTTAAATTTACAACTTAACTTATAATAAGACTAAAGCCTTAACACTAAGCATGCTATATACAGAACACTACACCAGAAGGAAAGAGAGATAGAAAGTGAAACCCAGGCTCCTTCTGGCCTTATTATTATAGTCAACATGACCTTGACAGAAAGAGATAACAGAACTAATTTAACCCAGCTGTACTCAGCTTCTTTGAAGGAATAACCCAAACATCATGAACCTTCTGCTTGCTTCTTTCACACAGAGAAGCTTCCAGTAGCTTCCAGAACCATCTCTACACATCAGATCAATACTTTCTGCACTAAGAAATGCAAAGTGACAAATTCAGCCCAATGACAGTCTCCTTGTGTCATTCTTGTGGCCCTCCCTTCATCTGCTGTGACCATTATGCACCTGTGCGGGAAATACTGGATAAGTCTCACACAGTGCTGTTGGGGACTTCGATATCCATGGGTTGGTTCAGGACTTCATGGCCTCCATGACAACCATGGGGCTGACTCAGGGCATCAATGGTCCAAAACATGTAGCTGGGCTTACCCTCAACCTGGTCTTTGCCTTAGAGGGGATTGCTAATACTCCACTGACTGTTTAAAACCGTTGTACTGGTTGCCAGTTTGTTTCTGGGCCCCATTCAAGGTGCTCACATTATTCTTTAAAGCCCTAACTGATTTAGGCCCCAAATATCTGAAAGACCACCTCCTTCCCTACCGACCCTCTTAGGTCCTTAAATGGCAGCTCCTCCGCCACCCCACTCTGCATGGCCCCTAGTGAGAGATGAGGGGAGCTGATTTGTTTTTGTTTATTTTACAAATTTATAAACCACATCACAGCCTAAGGCTACAAAAGCAGTTTCTGTGACAAGATTTTAAAAAGATGAAAGACAAAAAAAGGAATAAGCATTCCAAAAACTGAACCATTTCTACAAATTTTATTTATAAAATACGAGTATTACATTAAAGGAATTCAAAAGAGCATTCAGGCACTCAAGAGGTGTATTCAGATATATTTAAAGGGGGCTAGGGATCCATTTTCCTGCCCATTACCCTCCACAAGGCTCCTTTCACATCCTTGTTCCTCAAACTATAGATCAGAGGGTTCAGCATTGGAGTGACCACAGCATAGAAGACAGCAACAAATTTGTCCTGGTTTGAAGATCTGCCTGGTGACCTTAGGTACATGGCCATAGCTGTGCCATAAAAGATCCCAACCACTGTAAGATGGGAGCCACAGGTAGAAAGAGCCTTGCTCCAACGCTGAGCTGAGCGAATCCTCAGCACTGCCAGACTAATGCGAACGTAAGTCAGCAAAATGAAGGCAAAGGGTACTAAGAGAGTGAAAACACTGCTGCCTAGTGAGAAACCTGCATTGGCTGAGATATCAGAACATGCTAGTTTCACAACAGCCTGAACTTCACATGCAAAATGGTTGATGACATTGTGCCCACATAGTTTGATCTTCATGGTGAAGGATGGTACAAGGGTCAACAGGGAGGCCAAGACCCACGAGGAGACAGCCAGACAGCCACACAGCCTTCTGTTCATGATCAGCGTATAGTGGAGTGGCATGCATATCGCCACAAAGCGGTCATAAGCCATGACAGCCAACAGAATGCATTCCGTCGTCCCAAGGAAGAGCGAGATACACATCTGGGCAAAACATCTGGCATTGGAGATAGTGGGCCTCTCCGTGAAGCTGTGGGCCAGCATCTGTGGGACTGTGCTGGTAGTATAACAGATGTCAAGAAGGGAGAGGTTGCCTAGAAAGAAATACATGGGGGTGTGAAGGTGAGGATCTGCTATGATCAAGAGGACAATAAGGCCATTCCCAAGAAGAGTCATTAGATAGAGGAAGAGAAACGCGACAAAGAGCACCCTGCGCATGAGTGGCTGGCTGGAGAGCCCAGTCAGGAGGAAGATCTCTGGTGTCGTTTCATTATCATCTTCAGGAACCATGGCGTTGTAAATCCTTCCGAAGATGTGGAATTATCTGCTGGAATAGTAAAGATGCCCCCAAACTTTATTAATTGGAGTGTGACTCAATCCCATTACCATTATTGTTGGTGAAATGATAATTTTATAATGGTGAAATGCTTATTTTATAATGTCATCAAATAATTCATGTTTCTTTGAACAAGGGATGGATGAATATTTCAGATTCAATTTCTCACTGTTTCTAAACCTTTTCAGTTTTAAATTCAGTTCTCCATATATCAACATTAGTTTGTGATTGATTGATTGATTGATTGATTGATTGATTTAAAAGCCCTTGTGAAATTTCATTAGCATCTTGGCTCTAATTTTTCCTAATATACACATTTTCTATGTGAAGAAAATTACACTCTGTGTGGAAAATGTATCCTTGGAGCAGAGCTATGAAACCCCAATCTTGCTACATACAATGGTGGTACAAATCCACCCCCTATGCAAATATCACATATACAGTGTATTTAAATGTTCTAGGGAAATCTGTGACTCTCCAGATGTTGCTGGACTACAACTCCCATCATCCCTGACCATCCTGGCTAGGGCTGGTGTCCAACCATATGCAGGAGGGCCATGCATTTGTGCCACCACTGTAAGTAAACTGTGCCAACATACTTCCAGTGCTCCTTGCAAATTGAAGTGACCCAGAAAGGAGTTAAGTGCTAAGATTCCCACTCCTTTGCTGTTTTATATCACCCTTCTCCTAGAGCAGCATTCATTGCTTTCTCTCCAAACATGTTGGTACCATCAGATGTAGCAAGCATGATATTTGACTAACGTGTTCTTGTTAATTGTCCTGTTTTATGTTGTACTCCACATGTAGCAGTGGACATACCATTCTCTAAGTTTTATTTGCGGCCACAAAAATTCTTACGGTCATAGGGGTCACATCCAAATACAGATGGAAGAAATTGTCATGTTTGGTTCTCTCAGGTTCTCATTTTCCCCATCTTAAATTCAGTTCTCCACATGTCTGCTACAATTTGCATTATTATTATTTTAACAATCCTCATGAAAATTCTTCAGCATTTTAGTTTGAATTTCTCCTAAAAAATAAATTTTATATGCAGTTTTGACTGACGTTCACATTTGTGCAAGGACCTTCCCTATATATAATGCATTTTTGTATGTTATTATCAGTTCCATATTCTTTTTACATACATTTTCTCCTAATATATGCATTTTTGTGAACATTGCTTGCTTAGAGAACTGCACCACAAAATTTGGATAAGTGCAGGTTCTGGAAGATGGCTGTGTTTCAGTTCTCATATTGATTCAGAAAGTGCAAATTTGGGGGGTATAGCCAGGTACTTTAAATGTATGCTGTGGGTGTGACTATAGTATGATATTGTGTGGTATTAATAGGGTGGTGAACATCTCTAATGGGAAAAAATTATGGGTGTTCTCCTAAAAGAATCAATTACTAAAGTCAGCTTGCTATATTGCAGTTTAAATTTTTGACAAAAAAAATGTAAAATACATACAAAAGAAACTTGAAATATTTACCTTATGGGGTGTCCTGTTGGATAACATTTGTTGAAAGGGAAAATAGGTTGCCTGATGGATCTGAATCAAATAGCCTTGTGCCGCCTAATCTCATACACATTTCCTTAAAATTAAGTTCCATTAACCTCCATGCGGCTTCCTCCCAAGTAAATGTGCCTATAATTGCAGCTTTAGGAACACTTCTAAAAGAACATAAGAAGATCTAATCCACTAACATCGCGAGGGGATTTCAAATGTTTTGATTAAATTAAAGAATAAATAAAACACCTTTCTGGTTATGACATCAGTCTAAGAAACAGCAAATGTTTGATAAAACCATGAAAAACAAAAAATGCTTCTTATATCATCTGACTTAATTAGGCTGTGTTAACAATTTGGGGGGGGGGACCAGAATATCTCTGCTGATTCAAATGGCAACAATGGAAAGCTGAATCAATCTTCTCAACCAAGTTTCTGGTCACAAGTGGTTAATTCTTGTCTTCATGGCCTGAGGAAGCATCAAGTCTCGGCCGCCATCTGAACAGAATAAAATCCAATCTCTGTGTGTGACTAGAAAATAACAATTTTTATAATTAAAACTTGAAAACTCATTATCATGAGTCTTTATATCCCTGAGAGATTTCAAAAGTTATCTGTACAGACTTCATACCTCTGAGAATATATCCTAGACAGGCAATTAAGAGCAGGGTTATTTATTTATTTGAATGGATTTTTAAAGACATATTTTTGTCCATATGGCATTGAAAGCAGCATACAACAAAGCAGTAATAGAGCAGAACACATAAAATGGCACCTCATAACATTGAAATTGGGCATATTTATAAAAATTATAACAGTTCATATATGTAAAAAGAAATCTTTAAGCAGTTTACATAAGACATAACCAGGAAAGAAAAAGTCAATATGAATTCATATAAAAATAAAAGCAAAGTGTCATTTTGTTGTTGACATTTAAATCCCTTGAGTAACTTGAGACCAAAATACTGTACAGTGGTACCTCAGGTACTTAATTCGTTCCAGAGGTCCGTTCTTAACCTGAAACTGTTCTTAACCTAAAGCATCACATTAGCTAATGGGGCCTCCTGCTGCCGCCACGCCGCTGGAGCACGATTTCTGTCCTCATCCTGAAGCAAAGTTCTTAACCTGAAGCACTATTTCTGGGTTAGCGGAGTCTGTAACCTGAGGCATATGTAACCTGAAGTGTATGTAACCTGAGGTACCACTGTACTGGAAAATCATGAAAGACCATTGTTATCTTGGGGAGATTTGAGTCAAGCCCAGCGATTGCCCCTCACATGCCCAGACAATTCCTAGGCATGAGTCAACTAAGCAGTTCATTCTGTTTCTTGTCGTCAGCATGATTCTGTGGAAGAGAGTACAGCTTAGTACCACCTGTCAAATTCTGGGCTATTCTTTATGCAGAGTCTGACACTAACACACTGGATGGCACCGGATGCTTGTCAGGCCTTTAAGAGCATCTAGATGGAGATCCAGAGAAGGGTCTCCTTTGGCCCTTGCCACCTCTAGGGAGGAATCCTCTGGCCTTGCCCTCCAAAAGGGGCTCTCAGGCAACCATGTTACCTTACAAACAGCCATAAACACAATCTGATTTCCCTAACTCTAGTTATAACCCTAAAGTCAAAGTTTTTTATTAGAATTACTTGTAACTTTGAAGAGATCACATATATCTATAGTTTTAATTCTATTAATGTTTAATTGCTTTTAATGATTGCTTCCCCACTATGCTTTTAGTTGTTTCTATTTTATCTGTAAAGCCATCTTGAGTCCCTGTCAGAGAAAAGGGGGGGGGGATATAAATCACAATAATTATTATTTTAGAGTCACTGACCTATGTCCATTTACCCATAAAATACACCTTCCAGCAAAGTTGCTTTTGTACCCTAAGATCTCACCTTGATCTGCACATCCTTTGTGAGAGTTCCTCTGCTCATCTGTACATGCCAACTGTTACATCTTCAATTCATCTTTGTTGGTATTTGGTTAATATTAAAAAGAATTTCCCAGAAGTCTTAAATCACAAAAGCAAACAGCAAAGAGAAGTGACTTAACATGACTAAGTTAGGTCCATTAATTTCAGTGGGTCTACTCTGAGTAACAGTTGAATACCACCCATATTCTTCCCACTTGCCCTTCTCACCTTCTTCTGTTGTCCCCATTGTATTCAAGTATACATTATGAGCCCCTCTGAACAGAGACCTGACATTTAAGAGTCTGTAAGGAACATGTAGCAATTAAAATTTTAAAAGCCCAATCATGCTGCTCCACTTACAGTGTAGTTTAAGACTAAGTCCAACATGCCATCTAAAAAAATTACCTTGCATGTTCTATGGCTATTTTACTTTTTTCCCTGCACTGTCATGTATTTGTATATGATTAAACATTAGAACCGTAACCTATTTATTTGTTTAGCATATTCATATAACTACTTTTCAACAAAAAGTGTTCCAAGTGGCTTATATGGTAGAACAGAGGGACTTTGGAAACATTCCAAAAGAGTTTTCACCTACATGATGTCCACTCCCAGTTGGGGCTGGACTACATCTCCCTCCAGCTCTCACTCTTACCCATACTGGCTGGGGCTGATGGGAGTTGTAGTCCAAAATAGCCAGAGAGCAGCAGGCTGAGGAAGGCCATTTTAAAACATTTTAATCTTAATTATGGTTCCCTCTAGAGTCTCACTCTACCTTGAGCCTTGTGGATTTCATGGAGCAGATGGTATCAACCACTTACGCCTCACGAAACTAGGCAGAGGAGGTAGTGGGAAGTGTTATGTACTGAAGTTCTCACCCTGGGCCAGCAGGGGGATACTGTAGATAGTTATGCAAATGAAGGATCGAAAGTGACGTTCAGTGGTTGGATAGTTTTAGAAAATGGCAACAGTTACATTGTTCTGGAGCTCTATATAAGCAGGCTGACTGAGCTCCTCAGTCAGTTCTGTTCCAGCTTACAAATAAAGAGCTGCTTTGGAAGAATCGCTGTGTCGTCTGATATGTTCGCCCACAACTTAACACTGGCGACAAGGGTGGGATCGATAGACATCAGAGCACAGCCAGATGCGGCCATCTTCTGAACTGAGCTGAATCACCGAGTGAAATCACTGAACAGAACCAATTCAGAGCTGACTGTTCTGGCTAGAGCACTGTGTTCCATCCATCGCCCTTCACGCCGGCATCGGAATCATGGCTTCATTTGTGCCTCTACCGCCATTTGCGCCAGCCTCTGAATCATGGGACTCCTACCTAGCTCGGTTCGACTGCTACCTCCAAGCCAAGAAGCTGACAGCAGTATCAAAGGAACGGAAGCAGGGCCTATTCCTCAGCCTCTGTGGGCCTGAGGTGTTTGAGACGGCCCGAGCATTGGTTGCGCCTGAAACAGTCCAGGCAACACCATGGGACACGATCCAAGAGAAGCTCCGCAACCACTACGCGCCAAAGCCGTCCAAG